GTGATGCGTTGATGAGTGCATCAGCCTCCCGCCGTGAGCGCCACAGTCGCGCCCCTCCCTGGCACCCGGCAGTTAGATGCGATATGATATGACTACTAGGCACTTAGGATATGACTACTAGGCACTTTAAAAAAAAAACCCTAACCCCAACCCTAACCTAACCTAAACCCTAATCCTAACCCTAAAAAAAAAAAATTAAATTAAATTAAAGTGCCTAGTAGTCATATCATATCGCATCTAACTGCCGGTTTTCCCTCCCTGCTCCTGCCGTGCGGCTTCAGGAAGCCACGGATAGCATCCTCCTTGATGCGGACAAAACGCTTCGCTCTCCGGCGGTGAGGGCGGAAGGTGGAGCGTGATGCATGACGGACGGATGCACAGACAGCACCCCCCCCCCACACACACACCTCTCTGCTAACCGTGGTTGCGTTAACGTGAAATACCGCGAACTGTCGAACTGGCGTCTGCTGCCCTGGCGCGAAAGTGTTAAAATTGAAAAGTGCATTACAGAGCGAGAGCGCGCGCGCGCGGTGCCTTTGATGTTGTAGAAGTGTGTTGTCGCTGCCGGTGTTGCGTAATTACTCAGCTTTCCTGCGCGCCTGCGCCGACATCGCGTACGGCCTAGACTGGCACGCGTCCTCGGCGGTTGCAGCGGGCGATACCGTGCCGAGCACCGACGTGGTGTCTGTCAAAGCGGGCGCTTGGAAATCTCGTGCCGGGTGGAAAGCGCCGTCTGTTTTTCGGTTGCCAGCGGGCGAACGCGCTGCATTTCAAAGGTGGAATAGGAGTATTGAAATCGCTTTGTCCAGATAAAAACGGTGGCCGTGGACGGAGTTGCTAGTGGCCGATTTCGTCCGTCCGTCCGTCCGTCCGTCCGTCCGTCCGTCTGCCTGCAGACCCGGCAGCAGAGATGATTTCTCGACCACGGCGTCAAATGCGCGGAGAACTGTTCCCATGACAACGTACATCTGGTTGCCTTCTGCCTGTTGGTTTCTCCTCTAGCGTTAATTTCGTATGAACGCAAGAGAACAAAAACTTAAACGAAATAAACACATTCCTCTATGTATTTCAATACGTTAAAACGTTATTCTATTTCGCGAAGCGTGTCAGCGTGTGCGCGTAATATATATATACAATCGTAAGGCATATCGTGATGTGGTCATTTACGAGGTATATGATTTACAAGTGAATCTCGGTGATCCGAATATTACGGATGTGCGTCGCAAAAAAACCATTTCGCGGCTGCGAACCGATAGATGGCGTCACCGTCCAGTGTAAGCACCAACTGCTGGTACTTACTCAGCCGCAAACTCCACGGCAGATGGCGCTCTCGCTCATAGGCTCAATCTACGTATGCTGAGTGTGCGAAGAGATCCTTAGTGTGAGGGATCCTGAGTGTGCCTGAGTTTGACTCACTGATCTCTACTATACTAATATATAGTAGTATATATAGTTATAGTATAGTAGTATCTTTATATATATATATATATATATATATATATAAAATATATGTATATATATTTTAGTATGTATATTTATAGTATAGTAGTATCTTATATATAGTAGTAATATATAGTTAGTATAGTAGATATCAGTGGTTTGACTCAGCCGGTATCGCACGCGATCGTGTGTATTGATCCGCTCTCGCGTTGATTTTGTTCTCTGCCGCTAGATGGCGACGTAGTAGTAGGATTAATCGCCTATGCGCGCTTCGGGTGACATGCGTACATAATGAGGGGTTTTACCGCAGCTTCCACGATGCTATTTATTGTCATTTATCTCCTCGTTTTCATGACTGATAGTCAGTCGGCCATCCCTGCGATCGTCCATGCTCGCAAGCCATGACTAAAGCTGGGTTTACACTATGGAAAAATCGACGAGATCCGCACGCACGAGTCTCTTCGTTTCGTCGGCGGTTGAACTTATCTTCTGCTATCTGCATTCGGTCGGCGATTTGTTTGAGCGAGTTCAGCGTCCCCCTGCGGCGCGGCAGACAAACATTTGTTCAAGCGAAACTCATTCCCGTCACATTGCATTATAAAAAATTTCTGCGGAATTCTCTTGCAATATTGCGGGGGGGGGAGGTTTTTACGATTGCCTGGCGCGCTCGTAAATGAAGGCATGGGAGGAGGTTTCGCGGATGAAAGCGCGCGCGAGGTGATGGCGGTGTGTGTGTAATGCGATGTAATAGCAACGCGTTTTTTTAATGTAAACTAAAAAGCGGTTTTTGCCCTGGCTGTCGCTTTGTGTTCAATTAGTGCAGCAGAGTTGGAATAGATTTATAGCAGGGCGGGAAAGGTTGCCATATATATATATTTATATATATATATATATCATATATGTATGATTTAGTGAGATTGAGCTGCTATATGATTTAGGGATGGCGGAGAAAGGATTGTGGTGGCGGTGATGGAATAGAGGGCGGAGGGCGGGTTGATGACAGTACGGCATCATTACAGCAATTATAGCGGATAATTATATAGTACGCCGCGCCACAGTACATAAATCATCACATCGTAAAACATCACTCTATTAATTATCCTGATTTATTCACGATATTTCCCCCCGACTGTAGTAACTATGGCAACCCACCAAGCGTTCATGAGAGAAAAAAAAAACCACCACTAACTGCAGCCGGTTTCTGTCATTTCTATTCTACTCCGGCATTCTATTCTACATGCGGGCTGGAGCAGAATAAGTGTTAATTAACATTCATTATTAATGTTTCAATTAGAACCGCGGCAGTGCCTGGCGAGAGGCGTGGAGCGTGTGGAGTAGGAACGTTTTGTTGTCTAGCAACTACAAAGATATCGCACAGTTCCGAATTGTTACCGCTCTAAAGCCATTATTCGTGTAGGCGTTCCCCGCAGTACCTATTCAATTATACACACCTCACGCACGCACGCACGCACGCACGCACGCACGCACCCAGACGAGAGACACTGTTGGAGAGTTGTCGTGGTGATGCGCGCGTCTCCGGTGCTCATTGTGATGCGTTGATGAGTGCATCAGCCTCCCGCCGTGAGCGCCACAGTCGCGCCCCTCCCTGGCACCCGGCAGTTAGATGCGATATGATATGACTACTAGGCACTTAGGATATGACTACTAGGCACTT